GATGCAAGCAAGGACTAGAAATGGAACAAAGGGGCAATAATAGATGTCCTCTTTTCCTTAAGGGGTCAGGAATACGTCTCTGGGTGATATCCAGTTCACCAGGCCTCTGCTGTACTCAGGGATGGTACTTTCTAGACTGATAAACTCAAATGTTCTTCAGAGGGAAAGGGAAGAACATCCAGAAGATGCTCTTCATCATGTTTCAGCCATAGACCTCTTTGGACCTTCTTAGAAAAATGCATAAAAAGTACCCAGCACCTACTTACATGAACCCCCACAACCCCCCAACCACCCGTACGTACACTGATTCACTCCCCACACCCTTGCGTATATATCCACTCCCACAAGTCCGTACACACCAACCTTCCACACGCCAACCCCACACACTTACAGATACATCCACTCGCACACAAAGTTCATACTTCTCACTTACACATCTACCCCCTCACCCACCACCCACCTGTATATTCCATACATGCCCACACGAACCCACACGGATACCCACTTCTAAAAACCACACATACACACATCTCACACACACTTTTATATTTAACTTCAGGTTAACTCCAGGCTAAAAACTCTCCATTATTGGGTGTCTTTTCACAAAAGTCCCCCATTCACAGAATTCTGCAGCTGACAGCCTAGAATTTAGGAACCTGTGGAGTCTCTTGGAAGAAACCATTCATGCTTCGGAGAGTGTGGGTTGGGGCCTCTCCTCTGTGCCATTCTCACTTTCTACCCAGCATTTCTCATGATACGAGGATGTGCTGTTCTAGTTTGTTACTAGTCTGTAAACATCGTGAGGCCAGGGACTGTGCCCTCAGTCTTTGAATCTCCATGCTTGGCACTATGCTTGGCAAAGAGAGGGGACACAGTTAATTTTGAGAGAATGGTTGACTTACTTTCTGACTGACTGAAAATAATCCACCTATTCAACAAATATATGTTGAGTTTCTCCTGGTTGCCAGGCACTGTGCTAGTCTTGTAGGAGATCAAAAGAAGAACAAGACCTTGCCCAGTGGCTTCTGGAGATCTAGTTGAATGTGGGACGTAGGTGGGCAGAAAATGACGATACCAGTAGGGTATTTCCTTGCTCAGTTCTTACGACATGGAAGGCACTTACTAGATTTCTTGATTGAAAGAAGTGCTAAAAGAGTTCAGCATAAAATATTATGAAAGTAGCAGAAAGGCGTTATTAACTCTGTCTCTGAGTAATTAGGGAAGGCTTCACAGAGAAGATAACAATTAAGCTAGAATCTGAGGGCTGGTTAGGAATTTGCCAGTAAGTAAATCTAAGGAAAAGTGCATATTAGACCATCTGAATTGTGTGTGGGGTGGGAGGCAGTAGGATATGAGTCCGAGAAGTTTGATCCAGATTGTGAAGACTCTTATGAGTAACGTAGGGTTGATGTTCACCCAGTTAGTAACCAGTTGTTAGTAAACACCTGCCCTTGGGTGTGCCCCAATGGCCTAGCCATGTCTGCCCCTTCCCTGAGGCTCTCCAGACCTCCCATGACCCGGCAACGAAAGAGTTAAGACCTGGCCCTGCAGGGGGCTTCTAGGACCCACCCTATTGCTGAGTCCAGTGCTTGTTTTGATTGAAGGGTGCTTGTTAAGTTCAAGTTTTCAAATTTTCAAGTACCACCTCTGATAAATGTGAAGAAAAATGGAGCCAAGAGAGCTAATATTTACTGAGCTACTTATGTGCCAGACATGGTAGTGACAGCGATTCTCCCACTGGGGCTTGTCATAAACCCTACGCTGCATCTTTTCCCATCAGTATAGCCTCTGATACCATAGGGCCTGCTAGATTGTATGGCTCAAGTGGCAAGGCTTCCTGCCTTGTAACCTGGACCTGCTGCAAAGTCCTTTCTTGCTCCAAAACCCACTCAAAGTTGGCGGCTTTCAGTGTCACCCAGTAAATAAGCTAAAGCAGTATTCCTAGATGTGGAAACTGTTGCCTCCAGAACCCAAAGAGGCCTGCCAGGCATCATGCCTCCTTTCTCGTGGTAGAGGATGCAAATGCAGTAATTGTTCCTTCACTTTGGAGGGAATATTCTGGCACTCCCTTGACCAGTGGACTCCAAAATACTTCACTCAAGTGGCAAGTTCCTGAACCTCACCCTCTTACTAAGACCTCCAGCATCCAGCCACTTCTTGCTTGTCCTGCCCAATCAGCATGTACTGGGTCAGCGTGATGGTCCATGGGGTGTCCAGGCAGTCCACATCTCCTTGGACTATATTATGACAGAGGGCAGGAGAGTCAACGTAGTTCTGGGGCAAAAATGTGAACGAATATTGTCCATCTCATATGAATGTGAACTGTTTCTGATCTTCTTTTCTAATCAGAATTGAAAAGAATGCATTTGCCACATGAATGGCTGCATAGCATGTACCCGAGGGCGCATTAATCTGCTCTAGAAATGATAGCATATCTGGCACAGCAGCTACAATCAGGGCCACTAAATGGATGAGCTTGTGGTAGTCTATGGTCATGTTTCAGGCTCCATCCAGTTTCTGCAGGGGCAGACTAGTGATTAAACAGAGATATGACAGGGACTCCTCCATTTCATACTTTAGGTCTCTGATAGTGACACTAATCTCTGCCATCCTCCCCCACCTGGGATATAAGAGTTTTTGATTTACTATCTTGGCCAGGCGTAGGGCAATTTCAAGGTTTCCACTTGGTCCTTCACACTGTGATATCTTTTATCCCATAGGCCAAGGATTGAATATGGGGTTACTCCAGCCAGCAAATATATCAATTCCAATTATACACTTAGGGACTGGGAGAATGACCATTGGATGGCTCTGTGGACACAGTGGTCCCACGCTAAGCATGACTTTGGCAAGGGCTCCATTTATATCCTGGCCCCCTTAGGTTCCCACTGTAACAGAAGGCTATGATTGTGCTTTGAATCTCTGGATATCAATATCAGCTGAGATCTCGTGTCTAATAGTTGTGAAAATGTCTGGGGATTTCCCTTTCCCCAGTTGTAAAATTACCCAAGTAAATGACTGTAGGTCCCTTTGGGGGAAAAACTGGAGAATAATTCCAGGATATATCTGTTGCAGGGTCCTTCCTTCTAGGGATATGGCCACCTCTTCTGTCAATGCACATGGATCTAAAAATCGGCTCAGGTCCAGGAACTAAGCAAGGATTATGACTTTTTATTGAGGTGACTGTCCTCAACCTCCTGCTCCTCCATTTTTGCCTTTTCTTGGTTGTAGATGTTAAGTAGCAGCCTTATTATTTTCCCATAGTGATGACATGTTTCACTGACCTATTTTAGCCTCTATTTCCACAACTTCCTCAGTGTTGTAAGCCAGTTCCAAATCCTCAACTTACTATCCATTTTCTCAGAATACTCTTGGTACCCCTTGTGTTAGTTCATACCCGCCAAGAGACTGACGTGAAAATGGGATTAGACATCCAAGAGATTTATTAGTGGAGGGAGAAGGAGAAAGCAGAGAGAGGTTCAGATGGTAGTGAAGGTCTGACAACTGTGGAAGGTGACAGAAAAGGCAGGATTGGCTAAGAAGAGCCTACGACTGCAGTGTGGTTCCAAGAAAGTTTCAAACAGGCTGATGGGGAGCCCTTGAGCTAATATCACCTGTTGGAGGAGTCCCCCATCTTGCCAGAATGGGCCTTTCTGGTACCCCTGCTGTGGCCAGTCATTGGCTGGGAGCCTTCTGTGGGAAGCGTGGCCTTGGCACCAACACAGAGGGCAGCAGTGGAGCTGCCGGTCAATCATGTGCCCTGTAGCAGGCGATTTGAACAGTGCATTCTCATGGCTACAATATACTCTTGCTGCAGTCCCCTGTATCAGATACTCCCAAAGCTTCTACCTCTCATCCTTGTTTGTTTCCTCCACATCACTCTCCTTGTTTCCATCCCATCATCCTGTTCCCAAATTCTCCAGCTCTTTCTAACTGTTTTGATTACAACTCATTTAGACACACTGTCTGGCTTTGATTTCAGTTCTTCCCAAATATTTCTCTCAAAGTGGTCCTTCCCTTTTCCTTTCTCCCTGCCATCATGGGTTATAGTCTCAAGCTAGTGAAAACCAGACACTGTACATTAGCTGAGTTCAGGGCTCAGAGCTCAGATTTTTCTTGGAACAAAGATCTCATAGCCAAACTGAACTAAAAAAAGTTAGTAAAATACCCAAAGTCTTTCCTTTCAGAAACATCCAAGTTACCTTATAATCCCAGAGATACTTCTATGCTGGAGACAGGAGCTACCAGAAATCAGGGAAAATTGTTTTTAATAATTTTGATGCTATTTAAAAAAGAATACCCTGGCGTGTTGGATGATCACGTAGAAGAGGACTCAGCCTAACCATAAAAGGTACTCAATGAATGTTTATCGAATGAATGACTACCTTGTAATGGAAAAATGAGATCACAGAGAAAACAGTCATGTTCCTCTCCTGACCAGTCTACTTTTTTCTGTCACATGGAAAGTTGAGCCTATAATGAATCCATTTCTTGGCTGGTGGAAATATCCTCTATCTTCTCTCATGCGCTGCTAGAGTCTTGTGATACGAGCGTCAGTCAGTCCTACCCAGATGTTCTTGTTGTTTATAGCAAGTGTTCTTGCCCCAAGGAAAGAATTTTGGATGGTAGATATTTTGGATATAAAACCAGGGAGGGGTTTAACAAGCTTACCTCTTCCACTAGTGGCCCCCTGGGACCAAGAGGATGTTACCTTCACTCCGCCTTTCAACACACTGTGTCTTCTGTATTAAGAATCCTGAGGGGCTGGCCCGGTGGCGCAAGCGGTTAAGTACGTGCGCTGTGCTGCGGTGGCCTAGGGTTCGCAGGTTCGGATCCTGGGTGGGCCCTGATGCACCGCTTGTTAAGCCATGCTGTGGCAACGTCCCATATAAAGTAGAGGAAGATGGCCAATCTTCCTCAAGAAAAAAAAGAATCCTGAAAGGACCCAAAAATGGGATATCCCTGACCAACTTCAAGACTTTATTTTTTACCTGTGTAGATTCTAACCTCCAACTTGACCCCTCTCAGAACTCCCAATGGCTTCTCCATATATTACTTAAACTTCACTCAGTCCAGAGGTTGATATGCCTGACTATTATTCCAGAGGGTGAAGTGGCTGTCACAAGCAATCTCACACATTTCACCTTCTTCCCAGACTTGTTTGATAATACCTGCTTATTCAGGATGCCATTTACCAGTAGCCCCAGCAGAATATAGTCATCACAGTCATTGACCCTGTTAGTAGAATCATAGCCCAGTTCTAGTTGTCCCTCTTTCAGCTGATTCTTGTCTTTTAGGTCAGAGCCAGTCAGCACTTGAACTTGGAACACTTTGGCAGATATATCCAAAACCACAGTTAGATGACTGCCAGCCTCAGCTGACTTGGCGTAAAAGAAATTCTCATCCAAGCTATAGGAATTCATGAGAACAGAGTCATTAGCAACCTTCAGGCTAGTGTAGATGGAGGCAGCAGGGTTGCTGGGAGAGCCAACGTCATTTTCCTTAAACTCTTTATCTTTGAGACTATTGAATTTGCCCTCAAAGGAGGAGTAATTACCCATGTGCTGGAAGAGGGAAGGGAGGAACTGGATTGGCGTTTGTTGCATGAGGTCATGAAAATGCGAGAGGAGGCAGTCACAGGGCATTTCTTGGTGGAAGAGGAGAAGGAAATGAACAAAGCGAGGGAGGTCTCTAGTATGGAAGAGTTTTCCAATGAAGCCCAGCTGAGAGAATTCCAGAGTCACCCAGTGTTTGTTTTCCCAGGCAGACACTGTAGTAGCTATCTGGGTGACAAATCCAGGGGCACATTTCACATCATCTGCGATCATCAGGAAATAGTCAGAGTGGTTGGTAGCAAAGTTCATGAGGAAGGCATAATCCATGCTCTGCTTAGAGCGGAAAGCTACATAGGCTGGGGTGTCCTTGAGGTTTTTCTTAAGGTCCTTCAAGGAAAGATAGCTTTTAATAGGAGTATTGATCACTACTAGCTGTCTGGCGTGGATATATGGCTTAAAGAGGGTTGAGATGTTGGCACTCATTTGATCAAGCCACTTGGGGTCAGGATCTGCCAGGTGTACCAGAACAATGAAGTGTTTCTGCTCAGATGAGGAGGAAGCAAAGAAGAGAGACTGCAGAGTGTCCAAGAGGTAGCTCCCTCGGGGACGCGGCACTGAGGACATCCCTATGGTCAGTAGTTCTAGGATTGGGGAGAAAAAGGACCTTTATCAACTTAGGGAAGTGAGGAAAATAGTTGCTATGGGTCAAGTTATAATACTCTCTTAGGTCTTTCCACATGCTAACTTCATGTGTTCCTGTGGTTATTTTACATTTTCTCTCCCACAGGCCTGAGTATGGACCATTTTAGGAGTTAATATCTGGTCACAAATTGTGAGTTTTAAAAAAATCATTACCATTGAAAAACGATTGTGAGAGAGATAGATAAAGATGATAAACTAAAAACATTTGCATCTATATCTCCTCCCACCCAAAATCCCACTGAAAAACCAGAAAGTTTGCCATGAGAGAACCACAATATTTGAAGAATTCCTGGAAGTCATAGTCCAAAAGACACACAAAGAAAACAACACATAGATGCATCTTTATACCAAAAGCCTGCAAGCAATTCTAAGTTCGAGCCATCAAATTCAAAGGTACAGGCCCTGGGATGGTCATCTGGATAATTAATTATAGAACCACTGGACCAGTGACCACCAAGGGGTTGGTGATAGCAACGTCCATCCCCAGGCTAAAGTCCTAGGATTTCTCTCTAAATGAAGTGGAAGGTCTGCAGCGGGGAGCCCACAATGTGAGTCCTGGGGCTGGAGAGAACGTCAGAATTAAAGCCAAGAGCTCTAGGCGACAGGGGGAAGAGGAAATAACATAGCTGACTATGGTGTTTGCCTCTAGGATAAAGCTCTGTGTATGGTTCCCTGAAGCAGACATTCAGAAATGTAGAGGTTGCCAGAGTATGTCTAAGCAGATAAATGGGGAAATGCCCCAGATGACTTAGGGCTTTGCTAGAAGAGAGGGAGGATATGTCACCCAGAAGATCAGCTACCCACATTCCTTACTTCCTCCATGTGTCACTGGTTCCCTACAATCTAATGAGGCAGGCTTCCATAAGCACAACCCACTTTTACAGAGAGGCAAACAGCGATGGTTACTGAGAGAGAAGTACACTGTTCATTCTAGATCCTTGAATATAAATCTGAAACAAGAATCACTAAACATTTTAATATAAATATGAAATAAGAATCACCAACATATTGGAAGAAAAGCAACAACTCAACCAGAAAGAGAACTCCAAAAATAGAAGTCAACAGAGAAAACAGTGAATTGAAGAAAATTTCAAACATATTAAATCAGTCCTCAGAGAGATTAGAGAGGAAATCATATTCTTTGGCAAAAGAACAGGCTTGTATGAATCAGAAAGAGGTTGTAGAAAATACGGATATGGGGACTTGATCAAGTTCAGGTTAGATTTTCTGGCAATAATATTTCCTGGGTTGGGGCTGTGTTCCTCCATCAGAAGGCACATAATGCCGGTTGTTTTTGTTTCGAGGCTGTCAGCAGCCTTTGATGCCCAGTGCCCAGATCCCTCAATACTCTACGGGTTGCAATATGGTGATATTCTAAGTCAAACATTCCTTCTTCATTTATTATCTGGAGTGCTTATATAAAATTCCCCTCCTTTTTGGTTACCCAGTGGTATAGTTCATATAGGCAAGGGAGATAAATATTTGATTCTTTCCCTTTATTTACCAGCTTTCAAAATAATGGATTGGTTCCCTAGCATTCTCCAATGGTGATACAATTTATCAGGTTTTGTTTTGGTATCTGGATGAACTCATGGATTTTATGTGTTTCAAACCATTGAAATTTTATCTTTGTTGATGCTCAAATTGCCCTGTCTTTGGCAAGTAGCCTCTTGAAGTTGGATCGTGAGCCCTTTTGATACAACTTGAATCATTTTCAAAAGCTTCCTTGCTATCTGGTATGACACTTCCTGCCTTGCACCTGGAATCAGCCATTTTTTCCAAGGAACCCTGGTTCTTTTTAGTGGAAAACAGTGTTTATATAACGGTTGCTCATTGCTAGTGGGTCTTTTCTAGGCCCCGGTGGGTAGAGCTAAAACATTTTTTTAAAAAAAAGATAAAACACATCATGAGTTCATACTGATATTTCAAAATGCATTCAATTAAAAAACGTGTTTAAACTTAAAGAAAAAAGTAGATTTTCCTTATTGAGAGTTCTTTGTATTATTAAGGCCAAAAACTTAAGCCCTCTTGAATTTAATCTTATTTTATTGACATAATAAATAGCTTAGCCCTGTCCTTTGAATTCTTAAAGTATTTGAGTCAGAAAAAGCTTATTCTGTTTCAAGGTTTATTTTTTTCTTATCAAATACCATTGCTGCTTATGGGGATCAAACAAGTGTCATAGCCAGACCTTAGGAGGGTACACAGTGCCAAAGTGAAGCTGGTTCAGCAAAGAGAATCAAGAAGTCATGACTGAGATGACAGAGAAAAGGCTACATATTGTCTAGCCATAGACTGCAGTAACAGATGCCAGCATGGTTACCAGTGACAGGGGAAAAAGGGATACCACTGTTGCAGAGGTCAATGAGGACCACAGGTGCATCTAGGCTGGAGCTGTAATTTTGAGAGTAATTAGCATATAGATGGTACTTAATGCTGTGAAACTGGATGAAGTCACCAAGACTAGACAAGTCTAGACAAGGATGACCTCTGGGGAACATCAACATTTAGACTTTGGAGAGAGAAGAGAAACCAGCAAAAGGTACTGAAGATGTACCAGTGAAGCTGGAGGAAAACCAGAAGAGTTTGGGATCCTGGAAGCAACTGAAGAGAGTGATGAAAGAAGAGAGGGACCTCCCATGTCAAATGGTGTCATAGGCCCTTTTCCTTTCCACCTGCCTGCCCTCTCTACTTTTGCCTTCCTGTCCCTGCACAGTCTATACCCCGGTGCACACTTACTTTTTTCCACAGGAGGGGCTCCAATCACGATATGGGAGTTTGCGTTTTTGAGTGGTCCTGAGTTTTTCTGCATATGTTTGAAGGTTTTCAGGTGGTTTGTTCTACCTGAGTTGATCTGCATCCAGGCTCTCTGCCAAGCTACCATCTCCTTTTCCTCCTGAGAAAAGGGTAAGTTTCAGCTCTGTGACTCATGCCCTTTAGGAATAATGGCTGGGTGGACTCCCCTTTGCATAACAGAATGAAATATCTCCAGGATACAGGGCAGGTTGCTCAGGGGTCAATCCAGTCTCTTTCTTATCATCTGAAAAAATTCTGCACAAGGAGTTCTTGTATAGTTTATGGGTCCAAGAATGAAGGCAGTTAGGATTTCTCTAGCTCTCCTGGGTGATACGGAGGGAATGAGATGATGTCAGTCTATGTCATGCTTCACCCACACTCATCCCTGTGACTACAGTCTGATGTAGGTCACTTAATCCCATGAAGGACAAAGCATGTGTAGATGTGAGAGATACAGGAGACAAGGTGATACCACTCGCTGCCCCAGTCTAAACTCTTTCCCATGGTGGCATTTCCCCCTTCATAATCCATTCACCACTCTCCCTTTTCTTCTTTGCCTTTTCTTGGTTCTGGCGGAATTTTCTCAACTCTTTAGAATTTTTCTTGGCTTGGAGAAATGACTTACCTTCTCTGACATTCAGGATCCTATGGTATAAAATGGGGGGAAAATGTGTAACTTTGAAACCATGGGAAATTTTAAATAAGTGTCTTTCTTCCCAGCCCTGAAATCTCTCTTCCAGAATGCTACGTCCCTTATTGTCTCCATCAAAGAAAAATGATATGTTGAGTCCTCAAGCTTTATTATCTTTCTTCTTTTTTGAATGTCGACACTGTTACTGACAATTTCACACAAAAAGACACTTAGATAATGTCTCCTTTTTCCAGTCCAGGGATTTCATTTTGCCCATAGTTTCTGGTACTCACCAAAGACAGGAAACTTGTAGTATCAAAGGGGATTTCTTTAATGAAAAAGAAGATCCAGAACACCCCTGCTGTTGCAATAATGATGAGTCTCCATAGGAGATCTTTCATGTTGCTGGGATTGGGGGTTTGTAGAGCTGTTTCTCAAACTGTGATCCTTGGATGTGTACTCAAATGTCTGCAATTTATACACTATTGAGAAAAGTTTTCATTTGACAGTAATATTCTTTTTCATGAATCAAGAAAGTACAGTTTACTTGTAAAAATAACGTTCTTTTTTTAGACTATTTTTTAGAGCAGTTTTAGGTTCACAGCAAAATTGAGAGGCAGGTACAGAGATTTTCCATTTACCCCCTGCCCCTACACATGCATAGCCTCCCCTATTATCGACATCACTCATGAGTGGTGCATGTGTTACTATCGATGAACCTACATAGACACGTCATCACCACCCAGAGCCCATAGTTTACATTAGGGTTCACTCTTGGTGTTGTACATTCTGTGGGTTTGGACATACATATAAGTGATGTGTAGCCATCATTATAATATCATACAGAGTATTTTCACTGCCCTAAAATCCTCTGTGCTCTGCCTACTCATCCCTCCTACTGCCCAATCCCTGGCCACCACTGATCTTTTTACTGTCTCTGTGGTTTTGCCTTTTACAGAATGTCATATAATTGGAATCATGCAGTATGTAGCCTTTTCAGATTGGCTTCTTTCACTTAGTAATATGCATTTAAGGTAACTCTATGTCTTTTCATGGCTTAATAGCTTATTTCTTTTTAGTGCTGAATAATATTCCATTATCTGGATGTACCACAGTTCATTTACCCATTTACTTACTGAAGGACATCTTGGTTGCTTCCAAGGTTGGGCAATTATGAATAAAGCTGCTGTAAATATCTGTGTGCAGGTTTTTGTGTGCACCAAAGTTTTCAACTCCTTCGGATAAATACCACCGAGTGCAATTGCTGGATGATATGGTAAGAGCATGTTTAGTTGTGTAAGAAACTGCCAAACTGTCTTTCAAAGTGGCTGCACCATTTTGCATTCCCACCAGCAATGTATGAGGGTTCCTGTTGCTCCACATCCTTGCCAGCATTTGGTGTTGTCAGTGTTCTGGATTTTGGCCATTCTAATAGATGTGTAGTGGTATCTTTCATTGTTGTTTTAATTTGCATTTCCTTGATGACATATGATGTGGAGCACCTTTTCATATGCTTATTTGCCATCTGTATATCTTTTTTGGTTAGATATCTGCTAAGGTCTTAGGCTCATTTTTTAACTGGGCTGTTTGCTTTCTTATCGCGTTTTAAGAGTTCTTTGTGTATTTTGGATAATAGTCCTTTAACAGATGTGTCTTTTGAAATATTTTCTCCCAATCTGTGGCTTGTCTTCCAAGTCTCTTGACATTGCCTTTTGTAGAGCAGAAGTTTTAAATTTTAGTGCAGTCTAGCTTATCAATTATTTCTTTCATAGACCATGCCTTTGGTGTTGTATCTAAAAAGTGATCACCAAATCCAAGGTCATCTAGGTATTCTCTTATGTTATCTTCTAGAAGTTTTATAGTTTTACATTTAGGTCTATGATACATTTTGAATTAATTTTTGTGATGGATGTAAAGTCTGTGTCTAGATTCATTTTTTTTTTGCATGTGGATGTCCAGTTGTTCCAGCACCATTTGTTGAAGAAATATATTTGCTTCATTGTATTGCCTTTGCTCCTTTGTCAAAGAACAGTTGACTATATTTATAGGGGTCTATTTCTGAGCTCTCTATTCTGTTCCATTGATCTGTTTGTCTATTCCTTCACCAATACCACACTGTCTTGATTACTGTAGATTTATAGTAAATCTTGAATTATCAATTATTTCTTTCATAGACCATGCCTTTGGTGTTGTATCTAAAAAATCATCACCATAGCCAAGGTCATCTACGTATTCTCCTATGTTATCTTCAGTACTCCAACTTTGTTCTTCTCCTTTAAAATTGTGTTGGATATTCTGAGTCTTTTGCCTCTCCATATTTGGAATAGATTTAGAATCAGTTTGTCAATATCTGTAAAATAACTTGGTGAGATTTTGACTGGGATTGTGTTAAATTGATAGATCAAGTTGGAAAAACTGTCATGTTGACAACATTGAGTCTTCCCATCCATGAACATGAAATATCCCTCCATTTATTTAATTCTTCTTTGATTTTGTTCATCAGAGTTTGTTGCTTTCCTCATATAGATCTTGCACATATTTTGTTAGATTTATATCTAAGTATTTCATTTTTGGGAGTGCAAATGTAAATAGTATTGTGTTTTTAATTTAAAGTTCCAATTGTTCGTTGCTGGTATATAGGAAAGCAATAGACTTTTGTATATTAACCTTGTATCCTGCAACCTTGCTATAATTGCTTACTAATTCCAGGAGTTTTTTTGTTCATTCTTTTAGATTTTCTACATAAATGATCATGTCATTTGCGAACAAAGACAGTTTTATTTCTTCCTCCTTAATCTATATACCTTTATTTTCCTTTTCTTACCTTATTGCATTAGCAAGGACTTCCAGCACAATGTTGAAAAGGAGTGGTAAAAAGAGACATCTTTGCCCTGTACCTGATCTTAGTGGGAAAACTTTGAGTTTCTCACCATTAACTATGATGTTAACTGTAGGTTTTTTGTAGATAGTCTTTATTCAGTTGAGAAAGTTCCCTTATATTCTTAGTTTATTGAAAGATTTTATCATAAATGGATGTTGAATTTTGTCAAGTGCTTTTTACTGCATCTATTGATATAATCATGCAGTTTTTCTTTTTTGGTCTGTTGATGTGATGGATTCATTAATGCTTTTATTTATTTATTTTTTTGTGAGGAAGATCATCCCTGAGCTAACATCCGTGCTAATACTCCTCCTTTTTTTTCCCCAAAGCCCCAGTAGATAGTTGTGTGTCATGGTTGCACATCCTTCTAGTTGCTGTATGTGAGACGCGGCCTCAGCATGGCCGGAGAAGCGGTGCATCGGTGCGCACCCAGGATCCGAACCCAGGCCGCCAGTAGCAGAGCGTGCACACTTAACTGCTAAGCCATGGGGCCGGCCCCATTAACTGCTTTTAGAATGTTAAACCAGCTTTGCTTGCGTGGGATAAATCCTACTTGGTCATGGTGTATAATTCTTTTTTACATTTTTGGATTCAATTTGTTAATATTTTGTTGAGGATTTTTGCATCTAAGTTCATGAGAGATATTGAACTGTAGTTTTCTTTTTCTGTATTGTCTTTGTCTGATTTTGGTGTCAGGGTAGTATTAGCCTCATAAAATGAATTGGGAAATGTTCCCTCCTCTTCTATTTTCTAGAAGAGGTTGTGTGAAATTGGTCATAATTACTTAAATGTTAGATAGAATTATCTGGTAAACCCACCTGGGCCTGATGCTTTTTGTTTTGGAAGTTTATTAATTATTAATTCAACTTCTTTAATAGATATAGGCCTATTCAGATCATATATTTCTTCTTGTGTGAGTTTTGGCAGATTGTGTCTTTTTTTTTTTATTTCATTGCAGCACATTGGTTTATAACATTGTATAAATTTCAGGTGTACATCATTATACTTCTATTTCTGCATAGATTACATCATGTTCACCACCCAAAGACTAATTACAAGGAATTGGTCTATTTCATCTAGGTTATCAAATTTGTGGGCATAGAGATATTCATAGTATGCTTTTATTATCCTTTTAATTTCCGTGGGATTTGTAGTGATGACCCCTCTCACATTTATGATATTAGTAATTTGTGTCTTTTATCTTTTTTTCTTAGTTAGCCTGGCTAGAGGCTTATTGATTTTACTGATCTTTCCAGAGAACCAGATTTTGGTTCATTGATTTTCTCTAATGATTCCCTGTTTTCAGTTTCATTGATTTCTGCTCTAATTCTTATTATTTCTTTTCTTCTGCTTACTTTGGATTTAATTTGACCTTCTTTTTCTTGTTTCCTAAGGTGGAAACTTAGATTATTGATTTTAGATCTTTCTTCTTTTCTAATACATGCATTCAATGCTATAAGTTTCCCTCTAGGCACTGCTTTAGCTGCATCCCACAAATTATGATAAGTTGTGTTCCATTTTCATTTAGTTCAAAATATCTTTAAATTTCTCTTGTGATTTTTCTTTGACTCGTGTTATTCAGAAGCTTTTTTTGTTTGTTTAATATCCATGTATTTGGGTATTTTCCAGTTATCTTTCTGTTGTTGATTTCTAGTTTAATTCCATTGTGGTCTGAGAGCAGACATTGTGTGATTTCTATTCTTTTACATTTGTTAAGATGTGTCTTATGGCCCAGAATGTGGTCAATCATGGTGAATGTTCCATGTGAACTTGAGAAGAATATGTATTCTGCAGTTGTTAGATGAAGTAGTCTATAGAAGTCAATTATGTACAGTTGATTGATAGTGTTGTTGAGTTCAGCTAAATCCTTACTGATTTTCTGCCTACCAGATCTGTCCATTTCTGATAGAGGGATGTTGAGGTCTCCAACTATGATAGTGGATTCATCTATTTCTCCTTGCAGTTCTGTCAGTTTTTGCCTCATTTAGTTTGATGCTATTTTTAGTTCCATACACATTAAGGATTGTTATGTCTTCCTGGAGAATTGACCCCTTTATCATTATGTAATGCCCTTTTTTATCCCTGATAACTCTTCTTGCTTTGAAGTCTGCTATGCCTGAAATTAATATAGCTACACATGCTTTCTTTCTCTTTTTAACCATCTTAACCATTTTTAAGTGTACAGTTCAGTGGTATTAAATACATTCACGTCGTTGTGCGACCATCCCCACCATCCATCCCATAACTCTTTTCATCTTGTAAAATTGAAACTCTATACCCATTAAACAATAACTCCCCAATCTCCCTTCCCTAGAGCTCTTGGCAACCACCATTATACTTTCTGTCTTTATGATTTTGATTACTCTTAGTATGTTGTATAAGTGGACTCATAAGTATTTGTCTTTTGTGACTGGCTTATTTCACTTAGCATGATGTCCTCAAGGTTCATCCATCTTGTAGCATATTGCAGAATTTCCTTCCTTTTTAAGGCTACATAATATTCCATTGTATGTATATACCACATTTTGCTTCTCCATTCATCCATTGATGGGCAGTTGGGTTGCTTCCATGTTTTAGCTACTGTGAATAGTGCTGCTATAA